TTTTCCTTCACTGCCTTCAGACCATCCAGCAGCCTACAGAGCTGTACTGTCAGAGGGAGAAATCATTTGAATACAGAAATTAAGTCATTCTAGAGCATTAATTGCTAAATGTGGCTAGTGTTCACAAATTAATTTGCACAAATTAAGTAATAATTATAACACATTAAATGATTATGAAGCACTAAGTACTAATTAATGTTCATTAAGTAATTCAAGTACAGGCATGGCCAAGCTACTAGAGTGCTAATTACTAATTAGCGTACTCAAATTAAATAATTCTAAAAAACACATTCATCAGTGTGCACAAATTAAGTAATTCATGTGCATGAATCAAGCATTTCTAGTTAGTACACACATTTGTTATTCTACAGCACAATTTGTACAATTTGAAGGTAGGAATTCTAAAGCATGAATTAAATAACTATAGAGCACAAATTTCAAAATTCTAGAGCACAAATTGTTAGTTAGTGTGCACCTATAATTGATTCTAGAGCACCAATTACGTAATTTCAAACCACGAATTAAATAACTGCAGAGCACAAATTATGTAATTCTAAAGCATAAATTACTAGTTAGTGCACTCATAATTAATTATGATTTATAGAGGACAAATTACATAATTCCTGAGATAACTCTAGAGCCTGAATTATAAACTAATAGTTGTACAAATCACTGATCAGTGCAATTCAAGAACAGAAACGTATGATTTGTTCAGAACCTTAATACGTTCAAATTAATCAAATTAAAAGAGCACTTTATTCTTTAAAAAATATGTTCTATAACTTCAGATACAATGCAACTCATGTTATTTATCTTCTATCATCATATTGTATAGTTTGACATCTTGGTTTCCTCAGACAGCAGCTTTGCTCAGCAGCACTTCAGCAGCAGCATCATCATTGTTTCATTTACCCTCTCCCTCCTCTGATCTCTCTCTTCTCTCTGGGATTTGAACCGACAGCTCTCTGCTCACAAATAAAGCCTGTTTCCACCCTCTTCCCCCCTGTTTTCCTCCCCCGCTCTGTTTCCTCCCCTGGGGCGTTTCTTTTGTGTGTGTGTGTGTGTTTTTGAGGAAACAGCAGATCATTGGCAGAGAGATCAGACCGTATTATAGATCTGATGGACGCTGCCAGGCAGAGTTTAGATTTATAGCAGTGTTTATATTTATATACATTATCATCATTATCATCATGTTCGTCCCGCTAACCTCCGAGCTTTACTCCGGCTCGGTGCTTGAGGCTGAATGCTGTGAGTCCAGAATGAAGAGAATAAAGAGTGAAGCTGTGTGGTTTCTATCTGGGTCAGAGGATGAACAGATTCACAGCAGCAGAGTCTGAAGAGAAGAAAACGATCTGATAGAAGAAGGAAACTCTGATGTGCACACACTGTTCATCTTTAACCTCCGGGACCCTGATTTCCCCCTTAAATGTACACTTGAGTGGCATTAAGTGGCTTGATTTCCACTTCACTATCTGACAGTGTCACATCCACACTTCTGTCATATATCAACACACACCACTGAACTTATTAAGTTTACGTTACTTACATGCATCTACATCTGACAGTTTCAGTGTGTTTAGAAAAATATTTGAAAAAAAACCAAACTATTATCTAAAATATACTTTTTTTTATTACATAGAGGTAAAGGAATATGGAAATAACAATTAACTTTAATCAAACCTATTTATTTAAAAAAATTATAAAAGACAGTCCGATGCAGTATCAAATCCAAATCCAAAGTTTTATTTATACGGGTATACATATTGGAATATAAATGTATGTATGGAATGTATGTATAAATGAAATACAAACATGCATTCTCTTTCTTTTATCACCCACTTTCTTCTTTCCGGTATGTTGGGTTTTTTGTATTTCTGTGTAATTTAAATTGTTAGTGTTTTTGATTTCCTTTTTTTGTCTTCTTTTGCTTCTCCAGATGAGAGCAGTTTAGGGCTAAAACATTAAGCAATACTAAACATTCCAGTGTGTGAAAGATTGAGCTTTAAAGTCATTTATCTGTCCTTGCACAACACAAGGATGCACAAAGAAATAGAAGTTGTAATTCCTTCACACTACACACACATAGAACAGACTAATTTAAAACAATATAAAGCAGTTATTTATATTCATATATACATACACATATATCCTGAGGAAATCATTTTGCATTCTTTGAATTTGCGTCTGGGAGAATGTAAACAGCAGCAACAAGATAGTGATGATAATGAGCTCTGCTTACATTTGCAAAGCAGCAAAACAACTGAGTAAGAGTCATCTCACATGTACAATGGTTGTTAAGTCCTAACAATGAGCTACAAAGCTGGTATACAAAAGGAACAAAGCGATACATTATGTATCTTTCAGCTTGTCAAGGTTGGTCTAGTTATTCTCCAAAAAAAACCACCCATATTTTATTACATATATTATTTATTGTATTTACTTATTTGATCGACCAAATAATGTATATTTTTTTTATTATTGTTGTGACTGTTTACATTATTTTTGGGTAGCTTTGTATGAAGATTTTTGGCCACGGGAGATGAGGTAGGACAATGCTGACTGAGGAGGGGCGGGCTACATTTGTAAGTCTTAATGCGCAAAACAGAATTTCAATAAATATATTTTATGGGGGGGGGGGCAACTCTAAGTTGTGTTACAGATTGGCCTGTAAAAATGAAAAAAGGTCTCTCATCTAAAAAGTCCTGTAAAACCAGAAGCTAATTTCTAACAGTAGCTGAAACTGATTACATTGAATATTTTAAGTAAAATGAACTTAATTTTGTATCTTAAAAAAACATGCTTGATCAAGTAGCTTTAATCATTTTTCAGTGACACTGACTTAATTTGGTCATTTTTATATGTACTATGAAAACAAAATACCTAGTGAAAAGTTAGTGTCACTTTTTGCATTACAATATACACATAAAACCCAACATCACCATTGCTTTTGGTTGCTGGTGGCGGCAGCAGCAGAGCATGCTGGGAGAAACCGATCATCCAGGTGCTGTTTAATCAGAGCGGTCAGTCTGCAGCCGGAGGAGCGTTACAGTTCAGACAGGACGACCTTGATGCTACACCGGGGGGGCCCAAACACGTCCACCTGGATCAGATTCAGCCCTGCAGATGTCTGTTCACCTGAGGAGGGTCGAGGTCAGTGAGGAGGTGAAATCTGCTGTCCAAACTGAAACAGCTGTGAAATATCAAGGACTAAGGACCTGCTAGTGTCCCCTAGAGGACACAGTGTTCATTACAGCCACAATATGACAGAACAACATCTTTATGATTGAGCCATTAGCTGTACAGTCTTACTGGTAGTGGAGTAAAGATGGTGGTGCTAGAGGAGAGGCCACAGGGTCATCTGGGGGACAGGAATCCAGGTACAGAAAAAGTATTGTTTTTATAACTATTCCATGGGTCCATATAAAAAGTACATAATCCACCACAATAATGGGACCCAACCTGGCAGTCGGCCCCTCAGAGGTACCCAACATAAATGTAAGGGGTCACAAGATGATGAAAAGGGGATACAAAATATAAAAACTTACACTAAATTCTATTTATTACAATTCTCTATTTTCTGCCTTTTATTGTTAAATCCTAGATACTTTCAGCTCTTCTGGCCTCTAAAAATAGCTAAAATGTTTAGGGACCTCTGTACAACAGGAAACAATACAGTTTTTAAAAAATATATAATTATTACCATTGCACTCAACAGAACAAAATTACCCAGAAACTACAACTTCATTTGTGTAGCACATTTCATGCAGGTAGGTGTAACTCAAAGTGCGGTATTCACAGCTAAGTGTCTATCTGTGTGGGTTTAAGTGTACTGCATGTTGGCATTTTTAATAAACAATGATGAAGCACACTTTCTACTGTGGTGCACTGTGATCAGTGATCAGGACTACAAGAGGGGCTCTGCTCTCCGACATACAACTCTGTACCACCACCTGCTGGACAAATGTATAACTGCTGTTCTTCTTTTCTCCTCACGAAAAAGATCCATGGTTACATGAATTTACTAAGTTGAATGAAAATAAAATCAATAAATAAAATCAATTTTAATGAATTATAAGTTTAACAACCAAGGGGAGAAACAAAGGAGACGCAGTCAGACAATGGGGGAAAAAATACTCTTTTTGTGTTTTCTTGCATTTTCTTTCCTTCCTTGTAGCAGGGGCGTGACTTTTTGGACTGGGGTGGCACGAGCGGGGCACTGACTTATGCAGGGGTGTCATGAAGTGTGTCTCAGCTTTCCAGTCATTCCCAATTTCTGCAATTCCATATCACAATCTGCAGAAATATTCAAATACACGTAAATAACACATTTATACCAGATGCAAAAAATTGCATGAATTGCCCAAAACTACACCTTATTAGCATAAAGGGGAGACTCATGGGTACCTCGTGGCTTGGACACTTGAACCTTTTATATTCAAATACTTGATACCTTCCCCCAAGCACAAAGATGAAAAAGTATGTTGTTTAAAAAGTGTGCAATTATTTATTTCCTAGAACAATTCACATTAACACTTTTAATTACCAGCAAAATCGACCCTTAATTCCCCAGATCCACTTTGTTTGAACCAATCCGACGGCATCCATGTAGCACTAACGTTACGTTACTACAACTCCAGCTGGAAAAGATGATACCAAAGATCCATTTGTTTCATTGGTTCCGTTGTTAAATGCCGGTACATTTGGTGAGGACTGAATAATAACTTGTCTAGAACTAAAAACTTAAAGTTTACTATCTCGTAAGCTATCTCAGTGGTGCTAGCTTAGCTAGTTAGCCGTGGAGGACGCCATTATTGTTTACATCATGTGCTGTCATGAGCACAAGCCTCCCATCAGGCAGCAGACACACGTTTCCTTTTGCGTATAATACACAGAAAGAAAATAGTTCCTACATGAAGATGCTCACAGCATGCTTTCTGGAAAAAGACATCACTGTTTGAACACTGCTCAAAGCAGCACAGGCCGAGTGCACGCGTCATGGCTTCAATGTCATTCAAGTTTATTGCACATTAGCAGCTGTTTGATTCCACGTGTAGAAAACACACAATTTTTTTTGCATCATGTTTATATGAAGAATTACAAATTTAGCATTTGTAAAACAAAAGAGAATTCAAACCCTTGGTTATGATTTTGTAACTTTTTTCCTTTAAAGAAAAATATAGGCTAAAAGTGACACGCCCAATCCCAAAACCCCACACCAGGATCTCTGAAGAACCAGGTCAACATTTTGGGAAACAGTTTGCTTTCTTTCCCAGACTGAAGAGAACAGATCCATTTAAATGTCAAGTACAGAGCTGGAGTCAGGACATTTAGCCTAGCTTAGCATAAAGGCTGGAAGCAGGGGGAAACAGCTAGCCTGGCTCCGTCTTAAGTTGACCTACCATCACTAAGAAGCCGGCTGCAGTGTGTTTGTTCAAGCCTTACTCAAACACAAATATGGGAGTTCCACGCTGGAAGTATTGTCCTGTAGAACAGTTGATCCATCTCTAAAGTACAGTGCAGCGTCTCTGCTGGTTACCATAAGACTCATTACTGTGATTTCATTTCCAAACACTGCTATCTAGCAGTTCGGGGTTTAAACACAAAGATCGTTAATGTGTTTTCGGGAATCAATACAATATTACAATATTTTCTTACACCTCTAATCCAAAGTGGCATTTCAGTTGCCCGGGGCAATCCTTATCATTGCCCTGAGTCTCCAGGCTGTCACAGCCCGTGGCTGTTGGTCAGGAAATCGTTTGAGCACCGAACTCCCACTAAAGTACTCATTTGATGTGAGAGTTGACTCAAAGTCATTTCTCTGAAGCTCCGACAGAAAAGAAACTAATAAGTAAGGTTGGATCCACCGAGTCAGACTGGAGTTTTGCACATCCTACTTTTGCGTTCCCGAACAAGCTCGGAGGTTCGCTGCCTCTTCAACAGTCCGCCTGGTTGCTGACAGATGAGACCGAACCTGCAGCAGTTCCACCTGCCGCTCACTTTGACCACTCTGGTTTCTCCTCTCTGTGATTACTCGATGCCTTTGAGTGTGTGGTAGATGTGTTTGGGTAAAATCACGTATCCCTCTCCGAACGCTGCTGCTGGCTCGCGGACGGTCCTGGGCGTCTCGCACGCCGCCTTCAGCCTCTTTAGCTGTCTCTCCTGCCGCCTGCACTTCTGCTGCGTCGTCTTCAGCTTCTTCCTCAGACTGCCCAGCTGCTCCTCCAGCTGCTCAATGCGCTTCTTCTGCCGAGCGGAGTCCTCTGCCGTATAGTTGTGGTCGCAGGAGACCGCCGCTGTGTCGCCCCTGGGGTCAGGCAGGCTCCTCCCGGGCTCCTCCTCCTCCTCCTCCTCCTCCTCCACCACCTCCTCCACCGCCAGGTCAGAGGTCAGAGGCAGAGAGAGAGGGAAGTGGATGACTGAGGGGAAAGGATCCTCGAGGGACTCCGACTGTCAGACAGAAAACACAGAAGAGTTCTGAAGCTGCTTTTGGAACTAATCCATGATAACGTGAAGTTAAACAGGTCTGGAATCAGATATCTGGTTAACACTGATCAGCTAGTGAAAGACTGTTTTGTTCAGTTTAGCTGAAGTCTTTGATAGCAGCATGCTGAAACAAAGACAGGACGGAGACTTCTAACACTGTGACCAACCTTAAAATGATTGTGTTATAAGCCTCCTGAACCCCGGACTGTCCTCCAGCTCTCTGTCACAGTGCAGCACTAGTTTCTGACCGATGCAGGGTAAGCTTCATTTTTACGCCCAGCGTCCACATTATCTAAGTAGCTGCACCCACGGTTGGGTTGGTGGCCAGGTGCATTGTTGGTTCACTGATTTCTTGCCATTGACTAGGGCTGCACAATTAATCGAATATTAATCACGATTCTCAATTACGGCTTCCTACAATTAAATGCTCGTGATAGTCTACGATAATGACGTTTAGAGTGCGTGCTAGGCTCATAGAAAACTGCTGCATATCTAACAGCCAGCCACCACAGGGGATCCAGATGTTATCGTTTCACTTTTGGGGAACTACACGCACATTCTGCAGCTGCATCCTGGATAGTTTTATTACTGGAAATAATGCTGTATTAAGTTGACCTAACCTTGATTTGACTGGCTGTGTGAGCCAAGTGTGACATTGACGAGTGGCTTGTGCTGAAGGTTACAAATATTTAAACTTTTATGTGCTAGAAAACCCTGATGGCACAAGAGAGGAGTGCACGGCAGGTGCGCTGTACCATAGGAAACCATCGGGTGGCTGGGGCTCAGAGGCAGAGCGGGTCGTCCCCTAATCGGAAGGTTGTTGGTTCGATCCCCGGCTGCCTCGTGCAAGATACTGAAACCCAAAGTGCTCCCGATGCCGTGCATCGGTGTGTGAGTGTGTATGAATGTTAGTTTCTTTGTCATCACTGAGTGAATGTGTGTGAAAGAGTGAATGTGTGGTCAGAAGACTAGAAAGGCGCTGTACAAGTACAAGCTATGTGTTTCTGTGTTATCGGCCTAAGAATGGGGACAAGGTAGAATTAGTTTTGTCTTTTAGCCTAGCAATAGATGTAAATATTTAGTCACATCTCAATTCTATATAGGAACCAGTTTATGTGTTGCACCTGTTTTAATTTAGTGGTGTGTAAATCTACACTTTGCAAACACTTATTATAACTAGGATAAGTTTGAACTAAAAGTTAACAGTGTGTATAATCTTGGTCTGGATCAAGTGTGTGCGGATGGAAGAGCTCTGAGCTGCTTCACCTTGATGTTGAGGTTGAAGGTGAAGAGCGACGGCACGGCGTTCTCCTTCAGCACTCGGTTGTTGCACTCTCTCTTGAAGCAGTCTTTGGTGAAGTGCTGTGAGCAGATGTTGCTGTACTTTGTGGGCTTGAAGTTGTTCCTCCTCATCGCTGCCACCCATTTGCCGCAAACATCTGGACGTGCTAGAGGAAACCTGAGAAAATCAATGCGGTAGTCAGTAAACTGAGAACAATCTTATTGTACTTCAGTCACCTCAGGATTTGTTCATTCTGTTGGATTTAATTCATCATCATCATCATCATCATCATCAGCAGAATATTAATCAGTCCTTGTTTGATTATGAATAATTGGTTTAGGTTATTTAGGAAGGAAACTTGATGTCACAATTGTTGTGCCTGGTCCTGTCAGATTCCCTTTCCTGGTAAACACTGGAGGACATGTAGTCCTACAAAATCAAAATTGACTTTAGCAGTGAATTCACCATTTAACTCTTAGTACCTCGTCAGTGCCTTGTTCCCCCTGCTGGGACTAACAGGGAAGTGAACCTCTCACCTTTAACACTTTAACACTCAGCAGGATGCTAAATGAAAGTGAAGAAAGGAACTTCAGCTGTATCTTGAGTGCTCTGTAAGTTGGCAGTAGACTTAAGTCTGGATCAACATGTATCACATGGTCAAACCTACAGGTCTCCACATGTTTACCCTGTTCCAACGCTAACATTAGCGTAACGGCCAACAAGCGCCGACACATAAGGAACTGTAACCGGACTCCGCCCAGAACTGTTTTAGTTTCTTACTCTCGTACTTCTGGATATATCAAACACTATATACTAATAGACTATTAAGTGCTTTTACGAACATGTATTGTGCCATTGTAAATTCGGCATGTGGAATTCTGTGAAACAGTCATTAAGTTAAGTTTTAATAGAATCTAAACTGGACTGTTTGGCTATCGCAACCGCAAACAGAGTGTAGGTTAACTTGTTACTTTGGACTGTGCGGTTGGCAGGTGAACTTAAAAGAAAACTATCAATTGGTAAAAAAAAATGGTGCTTGGTGAGTTTCTCTGTGACCCGATTTCACCAGTAAGATCTACCGATACAAGAAATGTCTTGAGTCAAATTCTACCACGCATGTACTGTTAATAATGAGCAATTACCTTTTAAAAAAGCCGATTAGTAAAGGCAACCTGGTAAACTCTCTCGATACTCTGTACCAGCATTTCACAGTGCTTATCCATCGTGTCTGGCCAGCTAATGCTAACTAGCAGACTCACACAGTTTAAAGGAACTTACTTGTGGAAGGAGATGTCTCTGTCTTTGTGGTAGCGGTTCTTACAGCCGTACGCTGAGCACGTCTGAACCATGGCTGCTGCCCGGACAACACTCACTGAAACTCAGACCGATACTCCACGAAGCTCCGCTGGTGCTTCTCCTCGTCCTCCGCGCAGGCTTCACTGCCACTAACAATGATGGCGGCGAAGATTGGGTCACGTGACTTACGTTTTCAGATGTGATTGGCGGAGCTCGCTTCCCATACCTTCCCTAAATATCTGCGTCCACCAGGTGAAAACTGCCCCTTATCTCATGGCTGTCATTTTATATTTTAGTCATATTGTAATTGCATAAGATGTAATTGAATTACTGATATTCAACCTGACAATTACAGGAGTTCATTTTAAGGACAGAAAACGGTAATTTAATTGGTTTTAAACTAAAAAACACTGCAATATGACCCTAATTATTTCCCATAATTCCCTTAATGCAGTGCATTAATATATCACATTAATATATCACATCCAGATACATTTACATTGATATAACTGTGTGTAAATGTATTGTTTGTAAAGTTTGTTAAGTGTACATTTTTTAAATGTTATGCATATATTTTAAAACCTTACAAATCTGATATTAAAAATATTCAGTGAGATTATTGTGTAGTACACGGAATCTATTGGTAAAATATGGTTTTATTGGCAAAAGAATGTTATACACAAATGTATTTTGACCCAATCACGGATCCATTGTTGATGAATATCTTTGTAAATGTAATATTATTGGTTATTTTATTTCTGTGTACATTTTTATTTTATTTTATTTATTTTCATGGCTAAAAAGGAATGAGACTGTTATCAAAGTAATTATTAAATGCTGTAGTGGTTTGTAAATAAAGAGTTTTGAGAGAAAAGTATGTTTCCACGGTACCACAGACAATATACAGTATACTGGACATATAATACAGCAACACTGGCACCGGCAGTGTCACTGCTGCTGATATTTGTAGTTATTTGTACATTGTTTACAAGATAATGTAGAGGTGTGTTGCTCTTTAGGCAAACTAGCACTAGAAAATGTAATATAGAGGAAGTGCGAATGAGAAAACTGGAAGAAATACACATGTAAATACCAAAATAGTTTTAATTTCAACAATTTCAAAAAAATGTCGCACCATTTTAGAAAAGTGCAAAGGTGCCAATACTTTTGGCTGCAGCTAGCTGTATGAAGGTTCTGTCAAAGCATCATGGGAGCTGTAGTTCTTTGTCTAGTAGCCAAACTCAGAAACTATGTGTTTTGATATTACTATCCTGAGGCTTCAGCACTCTGGTTTATCATGCAGTTTTCACATATAAATGATATTAATTCCCAATATTTTACAGCTAAGCCAGGCTGATTCATAGAAAATGTAGTTATACGCTACCAAAGTTAAAATGTGATGATTTCCAACACAAGATTTGTTGGTCAAAAAAAGAGACTTTATTAATAAAAGAGGTGTTTTCAACAGGGCAGGTTGGTCTGAGGAGCTTTATACAGCAGCAAAAGACCAGAAATACACTGGAAAACAAGTAAATACACAGCACTGATATGTAACTGTGACAGGTGTGTTTGTGTGTGTGTCGCCTCTATTCTGTATTACATACTGAGTCCAGTAGTTGAGCGAAAAAAGCAGAAAAGGCCACAAGGCTCTTAAACACTCTGAGCTGCTGCAAATTGAAAACTGGACATAAAAAAAACATTCTTTACAACTCGGTTTCTCACAAGCTGACAGCCGACAACTTATAGGGATGTCTTTTCTTCCTATCTGTATGAATGCACTTAAATGCACCATTACAGACTAAGAAAAAAGAAGAAAGAAAGCCTGGAGGAAGGGAGGAAATGGGAAGGAAAGAATAAATGAAGGGAATATTTAAAAAGAGCTTAGGCAGGACATTATTTGTCCAATTTTTACATTAGCATATGAATTAGCACACACTGTAACAGACTTTAAAGAGGAAGAAATAAATAGAAAAGTATAAAGAGAGTTTTTGGGTGGGCAGCCCAAATTATTCTATATACAGTTCAGGAAACACTGTATATATTACCATTTACAAAAAGGAAATGCTTTCAGCGAATGAAAGAAGTGAACTGTGATCCATTTTCTGCATTTAGAAGAATTCTATAGAATCTCTATAGAATCTTAGATGACATGTATGAACTTAACATAAAATCACTACGTCTGAGTATTATTTTGATAGTTCTTTGTCCTGTTAGCTGTGATAACATTTTACTGGAAAATTTTCGGGGTGTGTGAGGTCAGTTAGACGCACCTCCAAACTCTAACATTATGTTTCAGCTGTTTTGTATGTTTTTTTTTCAATTACAATAAACACACCCATTTCATTAATTGTTTTCTATAAAATGTCAGAACATAGTGAAAATGTCCTTTTCCCAAGCCCAAGGTTTCGTCTTCAACTGTCTTCTTCTCTCTAACCACAAAGACATTCTGTTTACAATGATATAAGACAGAGAAAAGCAGCAAATCCTCCCAATCAGAGTATGGCTGCTAAGTCAAATGTACTTTAACTCACAGAAGAGATGGACAGAACTACCAAAAAATACAGACATTACTGCCAACATTACTTCAAAACAGTAACAAATAAAAAGCTACTGTACAATAAAACGTGTTTCAGTTCGTAGCTGATATTCTCTGCTGACATCAGCCAGGAGCCTGTCAGACAATAATCGCAATAAAAATTAAATAAAACGTCTGATTTGCAGGAAAAGTATCCAATATAATCTCTTGTTTAACCAAAAAGTGAATGAAAGACAAAGAAAGTGCAACCAGAAAGAATCTGAGTGCTGTCAGTTGGGTATATCTATAAATACTGCAGTACCCAGAAGCCTCAGCAGCCACTGTACATCCACACCTGGGAAGTCATATTCAGAACACTTTGTCACTGCAGTCAGGAACAAATCAACAACTACAGCCTTCTGATTGGATGTTTCTTATAGCAAAGCTCTCTGGGACTTGTAGTTGACCTCTCTCCTTTTATCGACAGTCTGTTTCAATAACGGAGCGTTTCTTCATCTCAGTGTCTCATTGTTTGCACAGATATTTCAGCCAGGTGACATTCACGTCCCACAGGACGTCAGCTCACACTGATGAAGCCCCGCCCACTGAGCTGCTCTTCTTTCTCAAGCTAAAACACAAGATCCAAGGAACCTAAAGCCTCTGGAGCAGAGTCTCAGCTCAAACCAACACTGACGCTGCAGCAGCCCTGACATTAAAAAGTGGCTGATGGTGCGCTACTCTTATTTCACTGTCATCTGCCAATTCTGAGTATGCTGATCTACCAGTATATGGCCATTATAAACAGCATGTGCAGGGCTGAGTAGAGGGACAAAATGATCTCAGCTCAAGCTCCACTTACCAGCTTTTTGTGGAGCTTTCAACCATGACAGCAGCAGACAGCTGACAACTGAGACAACTGACTCTTCCTAAGTCCCGCCCCTTTTGCTCTGTGCTCCAAATAACAGTTGAGCAAACATCTGTACTGTATATGTCGCTTTTATCTTCAGAATGCTTCATATAGCATATATACATAATCACATCTTGTTAGCTAGCTACTGCTAGCAAAATGCTAGCTTACTAATGATTAATGTAAATTAGCTAGCTAGTTGGCTAGTGTTTTGCTGACATTAGCTAGCTAACATAAGTTTTGACTATATATATATGTCAGCTTTATCTTTTAATCGTCTTGAAAAAGGACAATAATATTACAATATAATAAAGACTTTGGACGCAGTGCGATGGTAGCGAGCTAGCATTAATGGCCTAATCGGGGACATGTTACACATTTGTTGTGCACCGATACACGTTAAGACTCTGATGGAGTCCAAGCTATGTCCAACAGCACACACTCACTATGCTTGCCGTACAGGGATATACAGCTAGCTACAGCTAGCCCAAACAGCTTATACCACATTCACATCAACTTTAAAGTCGTCATTACGACTGGGAGACTTTTCTGAAATAATGTATGTATCAAACAAAGAAGGACACCTTTAGTCAGCCAAAGAACACCGTTCTAGGTGATCCAACCCACAGTACAGGAGAATGTGTTATACTGTCAAAGCACATTTTTAACCCTCACTTGACCAACACTGTAATCACACAACCAGTTGTCTGATCACATGAACGCTTACAAGTCATTAAGTCTTTCTCTACCATCCATCCCATATGATGTCAATGTGCCATTAGCAAACACACAATGATCCCATCAGTGACAGCTCCCTTTAAGGAGTGGCTATCTTCCACTGGGACATTATAAGCCCCCAGACTGAAACAATACCTGTCAGTGGAACATGATCATTCTTATCTGCGATAAAAAAAATGACATGACGTGTCAGCAGATCAGCAGGGGTACATCGTTAAGAGTTATCACATGACACTGCCCCAGAAGGGACATATCCATGAGACCCTTTTGGATCTCAGCATCACTCTGAGGCTGCGTCCCATTTCTGGCTCCGCTTCCTTCACAAAATACACTTTGTAACGGATCAAAAGGCTGCCCAGATGATGTCTTTTTGTTGCATGTCTGTTTCTATAGCAACAGATATGACCACAAAACTCCATATTTGAGTGTTTTTGTTTTCCACTCTAAATGCTGCAGGAGGAAAAAAAAACTGTACAAGCTAAAAGTAGGGAGACATTTTCAGACGGTTTAAGTTCTTCACATTCAAACTCCTTCTTTGTCCCCTATCACGGTGTGGATCTACTTCTTCCCCTTCCCCTTCCCCTCCTCCTCCTCATCCTCATCCTCCTCCTCCTCCTCCTCCTCGCTCTCCTCCTCACTCTCCTCCTCCTTGTCTTTCTCCTTCGCTCTGCCTCCATCGTCGCCTTCCGATGCCTCTTTCTTGCTGCCGTTTTCTCCTCTGCCTCCATCTTCATCCTCAGCTTCTTTGGACTCTTCCTCGTCGCTCGCACCCTGAAAACACAAACAGATTTCAGACTTTGATTTGACAGTCGGCTGCTGAAAAGTGCGGCAGTATTTTTTCAAAATAAAAGTCCAACTGACTAAACTTTGACAACTTTAACACTAAACTCATGACAGAAAAGGTTGATGATCTAAGGGACTGTGTGTGTGTGTGTGTGTGTGTGTGTGTGTGTGTGACGGGGGTCAAAAGGTGTACCTGCTTCAGGCGGCTCCTCCTCCTGCTCGGGACCCGGGCCTTCATCCTCCGGGACAGTGCCAGCAGCTTGTTGTGTCTCTGCCTCCTCTTCGCCTTCTCCGCCTCCTCTCTCCGTTTCTCCTCCGCATGGTCTGAGTCCGATTCGTCCTGCCGCTGCAGCCTGCTCCGCTTCTTGGGCTGCACCATCCTCTTCGGCTGGCTCCTGTCCTTCTCTTTATCCTCCTCCTCCTCCCCGGAGCTGGAGGATGAGGAGCTGTCGTCGCCTCCTAGGAATGAGCGCTTTCTGCGGGTCACTGAGCGGCTGTCGTCGCTCGAAGTCGCCCCGGAATCGCTCCGCTCCCGACCCTCCTGCTCGCTGTCCTCCTCTCGGGAGCTCTGGAAGTCGGATTGGGATCCGGAGGAAGAGGAGGAGGAGGAGAAGGAGCCTTCGTCACTGTCGTCCAGGATGGAGGCGGGTAGGCCGATCTGCCGCTTCTTCGATGCGTCCACCTTGGTTTTCCGCATCGACGCGAACATTTTCCGCTTGTACAAGCTCTCCATGTCTGCACGCGGTACCGGAGCCCAGTGACATTAAACAGAAACCCGAAAGAAGAGAACCGGACTGACTGGAAACAAGCTAACGGTGCGGCTAGTTAGCTCCTATCGTCTGCGCGTCACAGCAGCGACAGCATGTCATTTCTGTGTTAAAAACACAATATGGCGCCTGAATACACCTCCGTCAAGATGTATTTTGGACTCTGTTCATGGAAACGTTCTGCCTGTTTGTGTTAAAGCAGGATAAACAAGCTACAAAAAGGACATTTTGTAGCTGTTCTCCTCAGTGTAGCTAGCTGTGTTATTGTTGTTGCTCCCGCGTCTTCTTCGCTGGACGGAATTACAGCGTAGTGTGCTAGAGCGCCCCCTGCGGCGGAGAGCAGCTGCTGCTCAGCGCTGACATTAAAGGTCCAGTGTGTAACATGTAGGAGGATCTATTGTCAGAAATGGAATGAGTGAGCTGTTTTTATCTACAGTGTTTTTCACAGCCACCTTAGTTTCTCCTACATGCTTGGAAGCCGAGGAGTATTCAGTTGGTTGCAATCTTCAATCTCACTGCTAGATGCCGCTAATGTTTACACACTGGTTCTTTAGTGGTGGTAAAAATGTAAAATAAAAATAATGACACTGAAAAATATTAAACTAGATCAAATTAAAATGAGACTAAAATAAAGTAAATTGTAATTAAAATGTTAACGCAGCTGAAATTACATATACAATATGAAATCCATGAAAAGGGAAGCGCTGTTAAAGACAATGTCACTATATAAAATAATTAACTAACCTGTAGGCAAAACCGCCAACAGTAATTACCAATGACCGAATTAATGTTCTGTTCCATTTAGTGTAGCAGAACCTTTACAGCGACTCAGCATGTACAATAGCAGCACCCTGACTCGGTTTGACCTGAATGGAACAGAACCTTTTAGTATCATAGGTAACACCTGTATTTACCCTAATATTTCATGTCAAAATCCCTGCTGTGAAAAAGGTCTACAAAGCACTTATAGGGCTTTTCACAGAGCACATTTTGACATGTGACAGTAGGAACAGCACAGGTGAAAATACTGAATAAATGATGGCTGAATTTTCATTTAGCTGCTTCAGTTTCAGGGGCCTGTTATGGTGCATGCTGGTTCACTGTAACACTTGCTGCATGACCAGTAGGGGTGGGCGATATGGGCAAAAAATAATATCTCAATATTTGTTGGGATTTTGGCGATAACGATAATCAGTCGATATCCTTTAAAATGTGATTAGAATTGTCTGAGCTGGACTTGTGTCCACCAAACGCATTTACAGCGCTGAGAGCGCTCAAAAACTCATTTTCCAAGCGCCCAGCGGTGTTAAAAGTTGAACAGATTTCAACTTGAAGCGCTCTGAGCGCTGCGCTAAAAAAAACCTGTCTTCGCTGACATCTTTTTACCGCTGAAGGCGCTTAGCGCTCTGAACACTGAAGCCCATAGGACCCACGTCTCGGCACTAAATCATCTGAAGTACCAGTAGCTTCAGGGACTGGAGGTGCTTGTATTTTCTCTCTCTATCATCACAACGCGCTGCTAAACTGTTGCAAGGAGGATGCTAGCGAGAGGTCACGTGATCACGTCACGTCACTAGTCGTGTGACTGAATCCTGCCATGCTGTAGAGAGCGTTGCGAGTGAGGAGTTTCCGCGGGCGTTTCATTGTTTTTGTCGAAGTAATTTAAATACTCGATAATGGAAATTTGCACATCGTCAAAACAACAATGACGATATTATCGCAAACGATATATATCGCCCACCTCTAATGACCAGATGCATGTTTCATAAGTTATCGCCCTCGCTGTTAACTTGTGTGACGACCTTTTGAGCAGGTCTCTCCCAAGAGCCTGGTGGGTGGAGTCGGGTCATCAGCAACGTTCACTTCACCTGGTCTGGTGGCAAGACTATATAAGCTGGAGGCAAGCCAAGGGGGTCGCACTCTCCCTTGACTTGGTTTGGTTGAATTTAGTTTGTCTTATAATTTCTCTTTTAGTAATGTAAAATAAAAAAACCAACATATTTTTAGTTACAACTCATGTGTTCTCCCCTTCTTTGTTCAGCCTTGTGACAAATGGGGGCTCGTCGGGATAAAATGTAAAATTTTTGTGAAATTAAGTCTTTTTGGTAATTTGGCCCATTTTGTGTTGCACTACCACCTGTGACAATGGGGGTTTTGTTAATCAGTGTGTTGGCATATGTTTTCAGATGTTGTGTACTTGTTAATTTGGGGAGTATCATACATGACTTTATTTTTCTGTCGGAGGTAGAGCAAGGAACTAGTCCGTGGTCCTCTTTTTGTTTTTGGTGAACTTCGGAGGAATTGGTGCAGACCAAACACAGAGATAAAAGGAGAGTCAGTGTTGGAGAAACACAACTCCAATGGGATGACAACATTGCTCTGCTGCATGGGGAATTAGGCTGCTGCCAGCTAACACAACAACTTTATAAGGCGATGATATGTCAGGGCTGTCAGTCTTTTGGACTGTTTTGGATTTCCTCTGTCCCCTAGAGGCCTAGAAAAATCAATGAAAGCAGCTTTAAGAAAGAAACATGCTTTTACACTGAAACTTCAGTGAGATTTTAATGTTAATATGAATTTATAACAGGTTGGTGAGTTTGTATCAGCTCATGATCAACACAACAAACTGTACTACATTCTGGAATAATCTCTATCAGTGAATCAGTTTATTATAAACCTTTGCAGGTCTTCGTTCAGGACTTCTGTGCCAGGAGCGTGCTCAGTTTGATCTTCCCATCCATGGAGGCCGTCAGGCAGGTGCCGCAGTCCACAGCAGAGCACCAATCAACTGTCACCACCGGTGCTTTGTGCCCGCCCAGTGACAGTACGTTCTCCAGAGCCGGCTCCCCATTGGTCAGCTGGAAGAGGGGAATTGAGAGGTGACAAAATTAAAATATAACATTTATTGTAAATAAAACTTTTCTTTTGATCGATCTGAATCTGAATTTAAAGTCAGAGCAGTTCAGTGTGGATGAGAGTGCTTATGTGAGGAAGAAGGTGAATTTACTCTGTATATAAGTCCTCCGGTGTTGGAACAGGTCAGGACGTGTTGTCCTTCAGAGTCAAAAGCAAAGAGCCGACCTCGAGGAACCTGAACCTGAACAAGAGTTCATTCACAAATTCAGTCATTACACTTATTTTATTTCATCAATTTCAACTTTTACCCAGTGTTCATCAGCAATCCATCAAATATAAAGTTACAGTAGTCTTCGATCTAAACATACACTGCTTACCTGTTTGTATCCACTGTACCCTGACAGGACGAAGGGCCCTGTGGCATCCTGAGGTAAGACCTGCTCCGACTGCTTCACCCCACACCGATGGATGTTCCACTGGATGAACTGAACACACAAACACACACATTTAAATCACTTAACTCAAAACTGCTACGCTGCAACATTAAAAAACGATTTCAAAAAGATTTAAAAGACATTTTTAGGATTGTAATAATTCTGTCACCATCATGGATTTTCCACAAAATACACACACACACACACACACACACACACACACACACACACACACACACACACACACCTTGCCATCTTCTCCGATGCTGAAGACGGTGTTTTCATCGTAGCTAAACTCCACGCTGTAAACTTCTCCATCGTGAGCTCGCCAGCTCATAGCGCTCTCATACCGCTGCATATCTACAGCAGAGAATTCAGAGTACAGTGTATTATGTTTTGGAAGGCGGTTAAAAGATAAAAGCTAGATAACTAACAACCGATGTAAATTAGATAGCCAGTTAGCAATCATTTTGCTATCAATACTAAACTAACTTAAAGAACCGGTGTGTAGGATTTAGTGGCATCTTGAAGTGAAGTTGCAGATTACAACTAACTGAACATGGTTCACATCTGTATATTTGACGACCTGGGAATGAGATCGGGCTACTGTAGAAACATGGAGGTTCAACATGGCGGACTCCATGGAAGGCGAACCGCAGTGTCTATAGATGAAAAACGGCTCATTCTCATTTCTGAGATTCTACAGTGTAAGAGATCATAAACAGTCAACAGAAGAATCTACAACAAAAACAATGATGTTGTGTCCCAGATAAACACTGACCGAACAGTCTGATGACTCCGTCAGCAGCTCCGGTCACCAGCAGGTTTCCATTGTGGTTGAAGGCTGTGCAGTTAATGGCTACGGGTTCAGGTTCTAAAGAGAACTGGAGCTGAGGGACAGACAGGACACTGATTATACCACAGCCACAGGAAATCTATACGCTAATGCTAATGCTAATGCTAACTCATGCTAATGCTAACACTAATCTAAGCAAATTTTGGCCAATGCGTTCCGCCTCTTTTGATCTCCACAAGAACAGTTAACCTGCACACAAACAAAGCCTGCTCAACCGTGATTAGTCAATGCTACTCTGACTGCAAACTGAAACTAGAACGATTGCATTGTGGGTCATTTCAGGCACCAGATTTTGACAGGCAAGACGAATGCGTGAAATAAAACAGACAATATCTCTGGTTCTGCTGCATGGATTTTGATCCTTTATAGCCAGTTAGTGCAAAATCAGTAGGGTACTCTTTACTGCTACTTACTACTTAGTATCATAATAACTGTTACTGAACTGGCTGGATAATTACCTGTTGTTTGACAGTCTTGGTGTCCCACAGCAGCAGCTGTCCTGACACAGGGATAGGAAGTCGAGGGACAGAATCGGAGCTCCCAGATCGACTGAGAGCTGCAGCTGAACAGACAAACGACGAACCGCTGGGACTGCAGGCTAAAGACAAGATACTGAGAGACACAGGAGGGATATTAGTATTATCAGAGTTTGTACTTTAACAACGGATATTATTTATTGCCACGGGATAAAATGCAAATCTCAAGCATAGTGTTCACACATCTCTGGTGTATGTATAGTATAAAGTGTTTTTGTACTTGTATCATAAGTGGAGGTCCTCCAACATTACATCATTTCACAATCCTGCACTCAGTGCAGTTACAATACTGTACACCAGATAGACACAGGCTTACCGTGGATGAGTTTCGTCGATGTTCATCTCATAGAGATTCTTCTTGGCGTCCGTATCATACAGCCGCACTGTGCCAACACCGCTGCCTAGTAATAACTGACACACAAAGAAACTTGTTTTTCTTATCTTTTCTTTGACTTACATTAATTACCTGTAGACTTAAACCTAATTGCTACATGCCTAACATAGGCAAACCTGACATAACCTTACCTAAAACCCAAGTCTTAACCCTAAAATGTAGTGTTTTAACTTGTGCCATGCTTTATCTGTATGTTTGTCTTGGTTTTCCTTCTTTACAGTTTTGTGTAATGTATATATTTGTACAGGTGTTTTATGTTAACACCTAAAAGTTTTAAGGTTATAAATATGAGATTTAAAACTATTATTATTAATATAAATTAATAATTATATAGTCATGTTGTCCTTAGCAGAGAATGATGTCACTCTCCCTCTGCCTGTGTTGCTATCACAGCCTCTCTGTGGTTTGTTTCCATAGCCGGTGTGCTCAGTGTGCAGCTGAATAGAGCGTCTGAAACTGCTGTTTTTATCAACTACATCAGTGAATTAAGGATTTATTTCAACCAAATCAGAGCTGGTGATTGTTGGAACAGTGGAAACACTTCCATTGTTGCATCTTTTGCATACACAAATATATTATTAGGAATGACAGGCGTGACAGTAGCACAACGTCCCAAGCCCTTGGATAACAGAATGAAACGTGGCTGCAGTTTCCAGACGCAACATCTGAACGTCCCCTGACAAAGACTGTTTTGGTGAGTTTTATTTTGTTTCTTTCCACTCTGAATAAAGTTTCAAATAATGAAATTACCATTTTTGTCTATGGAGTCCAGTGATATTACGACTGTTTCTGGTTAAACAAAGGGTCTATCTCTGTAGAGATCCTTTCCATAATGTTGTCAGACACTGAGAATAACAATCTGATTTCAGCAAATTGAGCTACAGTAGCTCGGCTGCATCAAATCTTCACTTGCTGTGTAATATATCCCACCCACAGACAGGTGCCATGATAACCAGATAATCAGTGTTATTCACTTCACCTGTCAGTGCTCACAATGCTTTGGCTGATCGGTGTATAACATTTAAAGACAGAATATGACCAAGGATTTTTTTTTTGTAGAGAAACTGTAGAATTTCTCACAGGATTAATGTGTCATTTTAGTAATGAGGTTATTTCCTGAGCACAGCAGTTTATTGACGATTGCGTAAATGCTCTTTACTTTATTAAGTTAATGCATTAATACAAACCTTATTAAGACTGTCAGTATCTCTGTACTCAGTACATACCAGTCTGTCGGGTTTGGTGGCCCACTCCAGAGATAGCAGAGGAGACTTAGACATGATGGTGGCTTTGGTCTGCATGATGGGGTTGAACGACCACACCTGTGGAAGAGGAGGAGGAAGAGGAGGAGGAGGAGGAAGAAGGCTTAACTATGTGTTTCAATTAGTTATAAACAGTAGTAACAATATGGATGTTTTTCTTACTGTCTATGTTAATACAATGCCCTAAAGATAAATGACGCAGATTCACCTTGATGACTCCGTCTACATCCAAACTGGCAACCC